ACCACAGCCCTGGCAGCGTAAACGAAGCACAGGCTCTTGGGTATCAGTGAAGACTTGGAGGAAATAACTTTTGAGTTGAAGAGAGAAATTTCTCCCATTTAGAAAAGTGAGAGGGAATGTGAGAATGGAGAGCAAAGGTATGAAAGCATGGAAGTGTATAGTCTATTGCCCTGATCCAGAAATAAAGAGTAATTAATTCATATTTCAGGCAGCATTGTTAGACCTTGGTTCCTAAAACTTCATTTCCACCACATCCCTTCGCTGGTTAGAGTTGCTAATGGCTCTTCATTGCCTCTCCATTTAAACTCAGCTTCTCCTGTCTGACTCTACCGATTTCCTGTAATTCATCTATGCCTTTAATTTTTTAAAAAACGGATTGGAGAGAGAGAGGTGAGAGAGAAACATCGGTCCTTTGCTTCCCACATGTGCCCCAAACAGGATCGAACCCGCCAACTCTTGGTGTGAGGACAACGCTCCAATCCACTGAGCCGCGCTGGACAGGGCTGTGCATGCCCGTTATATACCCTTTTATATACAGTATTGATTCTTTTCAAAACCTGAGGGACACTGTTGTTTGGTGTTTGCTGGCTTTGTTTTGTAGGTAGATCGGAAGAGGTTTAATTGCCCCGTTCTGCTGGCCCCGCGCCACACCTAACCTGACAGCTAGCCCTTGGCCATGAATGGAGCCGCTGAAATAGCAGCATTGACTCCTGCCGTTTCTCAGGCAAAGCAGGGTGTGTTTGCAGCACCAGGTTCCTGTTGTTTATGTGAAGCTGGGTTCTGGTGAATACCCTTGGAGCTTGGGGTGCACCCTGTGAAGGTCTAGTGAAAACATGGAATAACAATAAGGTGTGGCCGATAGATCTCCTGCCCGGTAGGTCCCCAAAACACTTGTGCTAATGTCAGAGCTGAAGAAAAGTGTGGGTCTCTTTCATCTGGAGAGAGCACATTTTTAGTCTCCTATTTTGTCCGGTTTTCAATGTTAACAGTGCGTGTCTCCAAAAATTGACAGAGGGGGGCATCAGATAAATGCAGGCCTTTCTCTTGCCGTTTGCTATAGAGTCTACCCATCAGTGTAATAAAAAGCATTCCTGAATTGTCTGCCTCATCTCTATGAATTAGGAAATATTTTTAAAAGCATATGATTGATATGAACACTAGCGCTGCAAATGTAGTTTAACTTTTTCTATTTGTTTTTCTAGTTTGTTTTCCAGTCGTTCACTTTAGTTTTGGTTAGACCTGAACAGTATGTTTGTCCTTTACTGTGCTAGAACCAACATTACTTAAAACAATGATCCCATTTCTTCCTATGTGTCTTTAAGATCTATGATTAACGGCACATTTAAACATATATTGTGCGTTCTTATATATAAAATATACAAATATACTTAAAGGCTGTGAATTTCAAAAGGGAAACAAAACTAATCTTCACTAGTAGGAACCTGGGATATTTAAAATAATGCCATTCATGATGCAAGTTATATCAGATTGAGCTTTATTTGCTATTCATGGAGGTTTAAAATGGACAATACCTCACTTGTTACTGTCCTCAAATCATCAGGTGCTGGCAGTTTAGGAATCCCTACTACAGTTACATACTTAAAGTGCTGTTACATACCTGCAGTTCATTAGACTAGAAGTACTTATTGCTACATACCAAACTTCGTGCAATAGGCCTAACAAGATCAATGAATTACTTTTATTTTAACTTCAAGGTCAATCAGAAGAGGTCCTTTATCATTTAATCATGTATTTAATTATAGTCAATCACTGAACTTGACAGAAACACCCCTTACAGCACGTAAGTCTAAGGAGGCTCACAGAAGCACTCCCACTGAAATATTTTACTCTCCTGCCCATATTCTTCAAGCCACGTGGAGATGCGTTACACAGGTGACAGCAGCTACGCGGGGGCTGCCCAGGGGACTGACACAGCCAAGAGGATGCTGTTCCCTTCTGAGCAGCCTGAGAGGCTGCCAGTCACCGTGCTGTCTTTTATCATTTGTTAATATCAGCAGCCATGATCTCCTGCAATTAGAAATTTGATCACCTCTTTGCTTTGTGTTGTGCTTGCAGCAGCTTTCCTCAAAACTGATACTGACTATTCATTGCAGCTCTCAACATAAAACAAAGGCTAGCATTAGATCAACATCCTTCAACAAAAAGTGGTTATTGATGATTACCATAAGTATTAAATCTCATTTTTAGTTACTGATAGAACTTATATATCCTTAATGGCTTTACAATTTTGGGAGAAAGAGTGCTGGTAGGATAGTGTATTTTTGGCCTCTTATGAATCCAGTGCTGAGGAGAACCCTTGAGAGCCCTTCCTTGTTTCAGGCTACACTGTGAACTTAACAGGGGCATTGCTTGTTGAATAGTCAGGGATGGCCANGAGCCCTTCCTTGTTTCAGGCTACACTGTGAACTTAACAGGGGCATTGCTTGTTGAATAGTCAGGGGTGGCCAACACTTCAGGATTAGCTTTGGGTTTCAGTTCAGCCTAGGCCGAGCCTCATCACAGGTGTGACGACCAGCGACCAATAGCACCTCATCTGGTATTTGCTTGGTCTCATTTTCTGAAATGTCTGGATATTTTTAGGAGCTTGTAGAGCTTAAGATGGCGATGCTGTAGAAAAGGGAGCGTTTAGTTTTCTTCAGGTGCAAGTTGAAATGATCACCATGTCGGTGTTGACAAAACACAACTCAATCAGAGCATCAGAGCTCACTTTTCCCATTTGCTCTGGATCCTACATTTGCACTTTGTAGACTCTTAAATGCAAAAACTTTCCAAGTTGCTGCTATATCAAATGCATACAATATTTGTCAGGGTCCAGTGATGAAATATTACTTTCCCCCTGCAAATACTCTTGTTAGTTCCATGCAGTTGTAGTTTCAAAAAGAAACAAAGGTTTTAACTAAGTTGTCTGACAGTGTGGCTCTTTGAAGACACTTTCCTAACTTGTTGTTCTGTAATGATTAGAGTGGGATTACATTAGTGTGCAAACAAAGGACATGAATTAACTATTTCAGTAAAAAAACCCTTTACTCTAAACATCTCCCTTCATGATACTATGTAAGAAAATAAAGATTGAGTACGGGACATCAAGGACTCCGCCAATGACTGGAGACAGGATTTTCTTTACATTGTCTAATAGACTCGTTTATTATTTTAAGCTGGTAAAAAGAGACTTATGATTCGTGTTGAAGAAAGAGTTATTTGTGCTTGATACATTGAAGACACTGTTCAAAAGCAGTTTGTCCTTATAAAAGGATGACCCCTGTAGTAATCCTTAGGCAAGGAGGGACAAATTCAACCAACAAAAAGCACATCTCGCCCCGAGTTCCCCATGATTTCTCCACATATAGCAAAAAAATACACATCAGTAATTTATTCGAACATGCACATCTGGGAGTAGCACAGTTCTAGGCTACTCAGGAAACAAAAGGGAGAATATCAGCATTACCTAAATTAAAAAAAAAAGAGAGGTGAATTACACCATTTTAATTGTCTTAAAAACACGGATAAGAGGAGCAATTAAAATATAGTCCTAAATAGTACTAGCTAATGTAGATTACATAAGTATACAACATGAGTCAACTAATAGTGCTCTGACAAGCATAAACCACCAGTTCTAGTAAACAAGGCCCAGATCAATCGCTGAGGAAATGTTAGATTCAGATGGAACAAACGTTACTTTTATTTCAGTACTGAATGCAAAACCCGAGCTGGGGGTGAAGACAGCGTTCTAAACAAGGCGGCTCTATCAAAGCAAGGAGGCCATTTCCTTTTGCATTTTTATAATTTTTGAATACTATTTTTGACATTTGCTTTTTCTACTTTCCCTCCCCTGAGCACTAACTTGTCAAAAAAAGATTTCAAGGTGCAAGTTGTACATTCTTAGTGTTATACCATTTCATCTCTCTCTGGAAGAGAGTATTACAATCAGCATCACAATGTTAATTCTTTTTCTCTGAATATCTGTTTCACATACATGTATTTAAAAATCATAATGTTGATTGGGAAAAGAAACCTACAAACGAGAGAGCGATGTCATCATACACTTCCTATTGTGCTGTGTGTCTTTCCCATCCCTTCTCCCCTTTCCCTGTAAAGAGCTGTAAAAAATTTAAGGCAGATGAGGTATATTGCTGAAGAAAAAAGTTATTTTTGAAAAAAACTCAAAAAAAACTTTTATTCTGCCCTTCTACTCAAGAAAGACTGCTCAACTATAAATCTAGTGCTAGAAAAAAGCAGGAAAGACACCGTTTGCATGTACCATACTATGTTTTCTATTTCTAGAATGGCTTTTTGTTAATTTAACTTTAATAGAAAAAATAAGCACCTTAAGCTATGGACAAGAAAAAGAACTTCATTATTAGTGAGTCTAGAATCCAAACGGAGTTAAGAGCACTCACTCAAACTCTTTCATTCATTCTCACAAAGGCCAATGCTACTGATTAGAATCGTAAAGTGCTGTACTTAGTATAAACACTTGTATACACTGCAGACACTGAAAAATAACCCTCGAGCACATTGTGTTATAGTTCCAAAAATATATTTACAGTCTATTACAAAGATTACAAATGGAAGTGTCTAGTTGACTATATTATGCTAATTAAAATTATTTTACAGATTATTTTTCCTTAGGGACAAAAAACATTTTAGTGAAATTAAAATGATTTTTCTAGTCAGTCAAAAAAATAAATTAAAATATCAAATAACACTGTACAGTGATTTAAAAGAAAAAAAAAAAGGAAGGTAG